TCATCCCATCCCACCCTCTGCCATGGGACACCTTCCACTATCCCAGGTTGCTCCAAGCCCTGTCCAACCTGGCCTGGAACACTTCCAGGGACGAAGCAGCCACAGTTTCCCTGGAAATCCATTCCAGGGCCTCACCATCCTCACAGGGAAGAAATTCTTCTCAATATCTCATCTAAACCCCCACTGAGCTCCAGCACATTCCAAGGACCAGCCTACTTGGATCCCACACAACAGGACAAGACCCTGTTGCTACCACCAGGAAGAAATTCCCAATTTGGAGGGCAAGAATTCAGTGGTGGAAACCATATGGTAGTCAAAACCAAATCCCAAACAGGGATGAGCCTGTCACTCCTTGGCAACACATGCATCCCAAAAATCTAACCTGGGAATTCCACACTGCCCTCAAACCATGCCAAGCACCCCAAACTTGCTCATTTTTGGGAAAAAAGCCCTTTTTAGGGTATGAGTTCCCACACATTAGATCTGTCCCTTTGGCAGAGGAAGCTCAGGAAGCTCCAGAGCTGGGAATTCCAGCGTGTCCTAGATCTGCCTCCCAATTCCCACTCTGTCCCAGGCTATATTTAATTTGGAATGTCCAGCAAGTGCTGTGTTAACTATGGATACCAGTTCCTCATTCAGATTGTGCCAAGTGTTTCATCCCACAAAATCACTCTATGAGGATCCATCCCACAGGAGCTGGTGTGCCACAAAAACCAGAGGTTCTGCTCCCAAATTTTCAATTCCAGGCAGTCTGGACAATGTTTTCTGCTGGAGACAGTCTGAGGGTCAGGGCATTGCAAACATCCTCTTGGGAGCTGGACAGAGAAGGACACTCACACACAGCTTTCCAAGGATTGTGGAAACCCAGGAATCCAAAAATCCAACCATTTTCCCTCTCCCTGAACTTTTGCATCCAGCTCTTTCCCTGGAGCTGATAAAAGAATGATTTGAAAAGGGAGCTGTAGTTTTGTGTTCATTTCCCAAAAAAGCTCAAGTGTTTGGTTAATCCAACTCCCACGCTCCCACCTCCACCAGGAGCCTTTGGACACAGCCCAAGGCTGGAAGATTCCCGCCTGGAAGTTTCAGAAAGTCAAGACCAAAAATAGAAAGGAGGGGCTAAAGGAGGAATCCCTTGGAATCCCTGAGTTCTGCTACTTAGGGGATTCAGCTTGGGAGATTTTAGGGATTCTCCTACTCCCCATCCATGCACACTGAGTTGAGGTGCACAGGGATGAAGCTGGGCACTGTTAGAGGGAATCACCATGTAGGAATGTGGGATTTGGAATTACACTGGCATCCCTGGAGTGCCACAGGGACACCACGGCACCTCCCCACTGCTTTGATCCTGGCATGGATTAATTCAAGGTGCTCTCCTGCCACACATCCCAAAGGGAGGAACATGCCAGAGTCATTGGCCTGGATCATCATTCCAGCTTTGAGAATCCTCCATCCACTTGGTCCTCCCAGGAGATTCCATGGGATATTCTCACCCAGTAACCAGAATAAGCTTCTCTTGATCACTCCAGGAGTTCACAGGAATTCCTTTCTCCATGGTGATTCCTTCCTCCGGGTGCTTTGCTTCCAGTTTCCATGACTTTTCCTCTTGCCAACTTCTCTCCACAAGCTTTCTATGGCAGTTTCAAATTTTCCAACATCTGCCTTCGCACTTGCTTTCCCATATCCATGAACTCCCTAAAATCTGCTTCTCCAACACCCCCTTCCTTCATCATTTCCTCCTGTGAATCCCAGATATTCCTGGGATGGGACAAGCAGCACAGGAACAGCAAGCTCCTGCACAGATTCCCAGCCTGGGTGATCCCATGGATTTGGCTCCTGGTATCCCCTCACTGTGTAATTCCCTGGAAATGCCTCTTCCAGTTGGGATTTCTCATTCTTCCAACCAGGACACAGCTAAGCTCCTAAATCCCAAACATTCCGTGACCAGCCACGTGTCACAACCCACAGGGAAACCCTTTAATCACAGCTGGAGGTGGCAGCCACCGAGATTTGGGAACGATTGGGAATGATCCTTCCCTTTTCCCAGCCACACCAGTTGCATCTTCCACCGGGATGAGCTGCAGGACACTGGGATCTCTTCCCAAAAGAAAGGGGGGGATCTGCACCCCCATACCAGCCCTCACCTGGGTGAACTCCTCGTCGGCGTAGATGTCAATCAGATCCACTCCCTCGGACATATTTCCAGAGGCGGGAAGAGCGGGAGCCCGGGCTGGGACCGGGCGGAGCCAGGACACGGAAGGTGCTCTGGGAATGGGGGCAGGGGGTCACTGAGGCCCTGCGGACCCGCCGGGGGCGTCCCCCCAAATCCCTGTGTGCCCCAAATCCCATCTCCTCACCCCAGGCACTGTGTGCCCCTAAATCGCCTCTTCCCTCCAAATACCTGTGCCCCCCCCCCCGCTAAATCCCTTCTACCCCCTAAATCCCCTCTGCCTCTCAAACCCCCTCGTCCCCCTAAATCCCCGTGTCCCCCCAAATCCCATGTTCCCCCTAAATCCCTGTGTCCCCCTGAATACCCTCTGCTCCCCAAATCCCTGTGCCCCCCCAAATCCCATTTCCCTCCAAATCCCGTGTCGCCCCAGATCCTTCTCTCCCTCCATATCCTGTCTCCCCCCCAAATCCCTATTTCCCCCCAAATTCCCTGTGCCCCCCAGGATCCCCACTGCCCCCCCCCTTTTCCGCGCCGCCCCGTCCCCGCCATATGCGGCCCTGCGGAGCGGCGGGGTCCGGGCTGGGGGGTTTGTGGGCAGGGGGAATGTGAGGGGAGGGGGCGGCGGGTCCCGATATGTCGCGATAGGTCGCGCCCCCCACCCCGGGGCCCCCCTCCCCCGATCCCAGCCCCGCGCGCGCCGCCCGCGCTCACCGCCAGCGCCGCCGCGCCCACTTCCGGGCGTGGCCACGCCCACTTCCGGCACGCCCCGCCCCATCGAGCCGGGAGGGGGCGTGGCCAGAGCGGTGCCCGGCAAGATGGCGGCGGCCAGGGTGGGGGGGGGAAGGGGGGAAAACTGGGAGGGCAAAGGGAAGGGAAAGGGGGAAAAGGGGAGAGAAAGGAGGGAGAGCGGGAAAAACAGGGTAAAATGGGAGGAAAAGGGTTAAAAGGGAGTAAAAGGGGAAGGAGGGGGAAAAACAGTGGGGAAAGGGGGGAAAAAAACGGGGGGAAAGGGAGGGAAAGGGGAAAAAACGGGGGAAAAGGGAGGGAAAGACGGAAAAACGGGGAGAGAGGGGGAAGGAAAAGGGGTGAGTTTGGGGGAGAAGCAGGATGGGAGGAAAATTAGCATATTGAGGGGAAAAGAGGAGAAAAAAAGGAGAGTCTAAGCACAGAAAAGGGGATTTTTGGGGTAACAGGGAGGTCTGGTGGATTGATGGGGTCTGGGCACCGGGGTTTGAGGGAGGGTGGGATTGGGAATCGTGTCCAGTAGGATTTGGAGAGGCCCCTGTGTGCACGCACTCCCAGGCCTGATATCCCTGTGCTTTCCCTGTTCCCTCCAGCTCTGCTTCCTGCGCCGGCAGCTCCTGTGGCCACTGATCCCACAGCGCAGCTACCGGGGGGATTCCCCCACGGATTCCGGGAAGGACGTGCTGGAGATCCCGCTGCCCCCCTGGCAGGAGCGTCCAGATGAGCCCCTGGACACCAAGAGAGCCCGGCTGCTGTATGAGAGCAGGAAAAGGGGGATGCTGGAAAACTGCATCCTGCTCAGGTGCGCTTGCCTCTGAGCATTCCAAGTCATAAACAGGGAAGAGTTCAATGAGGTAGTGGAAAAATCCTTGGGATAAGTTGCTCCAAGATCTTGCTGGTCCAGAATCCAATGATGGAGTAGAGCTGGGAGAGCTCAGTGAGCCAAAATCCTTTGGGAAGGATGTATGGAAATCCTGTGACATGTAAATGCAAGGCCAGTTGGGTTTTGGGATTGAAGGAGAGATTAGAGACATAGAATTGTGGAATTCTGGAATGGTTTGGTTGGGAAAGGACCTTAGGGAGACCTTTCACTATCCCAGGTTGCTCCAAGCCCTATCCAGCCTGGCTTGGACACATTCAGGCATGGGGCAGCCACAGCTTCCTGGGAAGTTTATACCAGGGCCTCACCACCCTCTCAGGAAAGAATCCCTTTCCAGTATCTCATGTGAATGAGCACATGGAATCCTGGAATGGTTTGGGATGGAAGGGACTAAAGGGTCATCCAGTTTCATCCCCTGCCATGGGTGGGGACGCCTTCCACCAGACCAGGCTGGGTAAGGGCATTCCAGGGATGGAGATACCACAGCTTCTCTGGGAATGCTGTGCAGGTGTTTTCCCACCCACTGAGGTGAGGGAGGGCAGGCTGGGGGTCAGTGTTTTCCAGGATCATACTGAGCTGGTCCCTATATCCCAGCTCTTGCTTCATCTCCCGCTCATCCCGATCCATCCCTCTCCAGCCTCTTTGCCAAGGAGAACCTGGCGCGCATGAGCGAGGAGCAGCTGAACCGCTACGACCGCCTCATCAACGAGCCCAGCAACGACTGGGACATTTATTACTGGGCCACTGGTACGTGCGGCCATGCCCTGGGACACTGGGGTGGCACCTGGGCACAGCACAGAGCTGACTTTTCCCTCTTTTCCCCTCAGAAGCGAAGCCCACGCCGGCGGAATTCGACACTGATGTGATGGCCATGCTGAGGGAATTTGCTAAAAACAGGAACAGGGAGCAGAGGCTCCGGCAGCCGGACCTGGAATATCTGTTTGAGCCACCACGCTGAGGGAAGGGACGCCTCTGTCCCCGTTCCCTGGACTAGCGCAGGGACGTGGGGCTCTGGACTGGCATTTCCACCTTCCCTATGGTTTTCCTCCTCTCCCAGCAGCCTTTGGACATTCATGGAATGCTGAATAAAGCCCTGACTACCGGCCTTGCCTGGATGCTCGCCTTGCCCCTCTCCTGCTTTGTGACATCGGGGTCGGGCCCTCAGTGACATTCCCACTCGATCTGGCACATGCCACCTCACTGATATTCCCAATTCCCACCTGCCCCTTTTCCCAGGACCCCCAGGAGGTGACCCCACCCCGGGGCGGGGGCTGTCGTGGAGCTGGAGCGGAACATTCCCCGTGGTGCCCTCCAGCGACAACCAGGGAGGTTGTCCGACCTCCCGCCCTCCGGTGAGGTCCCCGTTGTCGCGGTTACCAGGAGATAGAGTCGCGTTCCACGGGCACATTCCACAGCTTCCGGGAAGGCCCCGCACCTCCAGTGCAGCTCCAGCCATGGCGTAGGGCCGTGCCTCGGGCCATTCCCGGCGCCAGGGGCCCATTCCCAGAGCCAGGATGCCATCCCAGCCGCAGGACTCGCCCGCCGCGGGATTGGGGACGGGCTTCCCCATGGTGAGAGGCCCCCCCTCCGAGCTCACGGGCTTCTACGTCACCACCTACGAGGCGGCCTTTGGGAAGAGGCCCAGGGGGTCACCCCCAAAGGTGAAGGAGGGGCGCGTTTTGGGGATTGAGCCCCCCAGTGACAGGAGCATCCACCCCCTCCTCGGCGTCCACACCGGCTCGGGATACGTCGTCAACAACTACTCAGAGCTCAGATCCCTGATCTGCCCTCATGTGGAGCGGTAGGTCCCTGCTCCAGGAGTTTGGGGGGCACCTTTTGGGATCACTCCGTCACAGCCATTCCCACCACAGCCAGGACACCGACATTTCCACCACCGCTGAGGACTTCAAGGTCTTCGGGCGCCCGGAGTACCGAAGGATCTTGCCCGAGCATGTGGATGATCCGCAGTGTCAGTATCCCACTGGCTTCTCCTTTTCCAACCTCCGTTTCGGGGAGGTGAGAGCCCCAAATACATCTGGGGAATATGGCATCCAGAAGTACTGCGCCACTCCTGTCAAGCCAGGTATGATTTTGGGGTCTTGGGAATCCCAGGGAGAGCTCCAGCCTTACTGGGAGGGTTTTGGGGTGTTGAGATCCCAGGGAAAGCTCTGTTCCCAGGAGATTCTGGGGTCTTGGTGATCCCAGGGAAAGCTCTGTCCTTAGGAGAATTTTAGGGTGGTAGGATTCCTAGGAAACCTCCAACCGCAGGAGGGTTTGAGGCCCTGGGGGTTCCAGGTCCAGCTCCAACATCAGGAAGGTTTTGGGATTATTGATGGTCCCAGAGCCACATCCAACTTTAGGGATTTTGGGATGTCAGTGTTCCTGGAGCCAGGTCAGACCTCAGGAGGTTTTGGGAGCGTTGGAGACCCCCTGTCCCTCTCAGACACAGTGGGACAGATGTATCCAGGTAATGCCAGGCCTGGGGACACAGGGGACATTCCTGCTCCATCTCCTTCCCACAGATGTCCCACCGAGGGCGACGGAGCTGTCGGGCTGCACCGGGACCGCCCCGAGGAGTGACCTCACCGTGCCAGAGCAGCCTGTGAGCCCTGTCCCCACCGTGTCCCTTGTCCCCCCCACCCCTCAGCATCCCAGGGGACACTTTTCCTATCCCACAGCTTGATGTCGGTGATGGTCGGATGGATTCCTTTTCTGCCACATGCAGCACTGTAAGCAAAGGGACGGGGTGGCAAGGGGAGGGGACATCCTGTCCCAGTGCTCCCAGTGGGCTCTGAGCATGGGGATGGGCAGGATCTCATCCCTGTGTCCCCACACAGTACCAGCCTGCCATGGGCTACCCAGCCCCCTTCGCCCCCCCGGAGCTCCAGGTGGGACCCAAGGGAGTCACAGCCGTGAAGGTGGGTGCAGCCATGTCCCCTGTCCCATCCCTTTTCCCAAGGAACCACACTCCCAACTCACTGCATCCCTCAGAAGCCGCTGGGGTATGGCACTATCCAGAACCAGTACCTGATCAAGCATTCACAGATGGCCCCCATAGCACCAGGTGAGTTTGGAGGGAGGGGATCGCAGCCCCCAGGAGGAGTGGACACCCCCCTCACTAATCCCTCCTGGATTTTCCAGGCTGGTGGGCAGAGACTCCAATCACCTGGGCCCCGAGATCTGTGGAGGGCATCCAGATCCCAAGTCCCAGTGGCTTCAGCACCAACAACCGCCCCACCAACCTGTGGCGCATTGATGACCCCCTGACGTGACTCCCCGCCAAAAAGTGCTGCTGCATCCTGGGAATCCCACCCTCGGCTTTTCCCAAATCCCCCTAGGAGGAATAAAGACCCTGCGCAATGCCATTGGATTGCTCCCTCATTTTGGGGGTTTCCTGCATCCCAAAAAGCTGGCAAGAGGGGTTTGGGTGGTCGGGCGGTGTCACCTGGCCAGCTGCCGCTGGAGGGCTGTACAAGCCCGGCTTTCCAGCTTTCTGAGCCGCCTTTGGGATGACACAGCTGATTTGCGGCAGGAAAATGCGGGCAGGGCTGTGGTGGGAAGCAGGAGGATGAGGAGGAGGAAGGACCCTGCAGGGTGGGCAGCCATGGCAGGGCGGGGAGCACTTGGAGAGGCTTCATCCGTATCTTCCCTGGCCATGGGGAACAGGATCTGTGCCACAGGGAGTGGGTCCCGGCAGGGTCCCAGGGGATGTGAGGAATCACAAAGGGACTCCCCACCAGTTTAAGGACCCCTACCCCGTCAAGGCATCCACACACAACACAGGGAGCTCCTCCTGCCAGTTTAGGAATTCCCACCCAGCCCAGGGACCCCACACTCAGTTTAGGGCCTCACGCCGAATTCAGGGTGTGGACGCTGATGCCAGGCTGCTGGAAAAGGGGCTGGGACTGCTGGGGTGCGAGGGACTCCTGCCTGGTTTGGGGACAGAGCCGGGACAAGTAGGACGGGAATGGGGCCGTGGGAATGGCGGGGCGGGGCATGAATGGGGCTCGGTGGGCGTGGGAACGGCGGGGCGTGAATGAAATTGGTAGGCGTGGCCTAAATGGGCGCGAACGGCGGGGCGGGGCCTCTTCCCGGTGGCGCGGACTCCCATTGGCCGCGGCGCGTTGCCATGGCCACGGCGTCGCCCTCCCCCCTCCACCGCCCCGCCGGGTCCGGTGCAGGTCCCGGTGCCGGTCCCGGTGAGCGATGGGCAGCGGCGGCTCCTCGGGGCGCGGGGCTCGGCTGGCGGCCGCCGAGGGCCCCGACGGCGTCGAGCAGCGGCTGGAGGTGCGGGGCCGGCAGGTCCCGGCCGAGCTGTGGGCTCAGCAGGGGCTGCGGAAGCTCTACCTGAGCGACGCGGGGCTGCGGGAGGTCCCGGACGAGCTGGCGGAGCTGCAGCACCTACGGACCCTCGCCCTGGACGGCAACGAGCTGATGGAGGTGCCCGAGGCCGTGTGCGACCTGCCCCACCTGGCGCACCTGTACCTGGGCCGCAACGGGCTGCAGGGGCTGCCGCCCGCCTTCGCCCAGCTCCAGAGCCTGCGCTGCCTCTGGATCGAGGGGAACTTCTTGGCGCACTTCCCCCGCGCCCTCCTGCAGCTGCCGGAGCTGCGCAGCCTCCAGCTGGGGGACAACCGGCTGTGCCGGCTGCCCGCGGCGCTGCCCCGCATGGCCGGCCTGCGGGGGCTCTGGCTCTATGGGAACCGCTTCCAGGAGTTCCCGCCCGTGCTGCTGCGCATGGATCACATCCGCGTCCTCGACCTGGATCGCAACCGCATCGCCAGCTTCCCGGACCTCAGCGGCCTCGCCTCCCTGCGCCTCCTGTCCTACGACCACAATCCCGTCCGGCAGCCGCCCTGCGTCGGGGATGAAGTGCAGCTGGTGGGGGACGGGGCGCAGGAATACATGGAAGAGCGGCAGGAGCGGCTGCAGAGCCTGCAGCAACAGGAGGAGGAGGAGGAGGAGGGCACCGAGGCGGCCCCGGTATCCCCGGAGGATGGGCCTGAGGATGGGGAGGGGGAATTTGCGGCCCTGACGGGATCTCCTGAGGAAACGTGAGCCGCTGTCCCCCTGAAGGGGTGCAGAGCCTCCCCCTGCCTCCCAGGGAATTCTCATCTAGGGCTGGGAAAGGAGGAAGTTCACAGCCTCCACAAAGAAAAACCTACAGTCTGGGACAGCAGCGTTGTGTCCTGGATTGGCAGGGCTCATGGATCCCAAAGGTTATCCCACCTGAGAGCATCCCACCTGCTCCAGGGTGCCTTGGATTGGGATACAGCCCTCTTCCCTGAGGGGTGATCCCACACTGCCACCCCATGAGAACGGGGACATTTCCACTCCTCCACCTCTGAAAATCCTTTGCTCCTGTTCCAATGGGCAGCATAGGAAAAAGCAATGCTGGTTGCATCCATTCTGTGAATCCCATCATCCTGGAGAGCTCTGAGGTTTGGGAACAAAGGCACAGACCCTGAGAACTCCATCCTGCTGCTGGAATTGGGCTGGGGGAGAGAATTTTCCACCAGGCTCCTCTCGGCCATCAGGTTTGGGAAGGAGCCGATGGAAATTCCTCCTGGGTCAAAGCACTGCCTGTCTCCAACCTGGACAGGGTTTTGCCTCTGTGGGAAGAGGAGGCTCATCCCCGGCACTGTCTGTCCCAAAACGGACACCAGATCCAGGGTTGACACCTTATCCTTCCTCTTCCTCTATCCAAGTGCCTCTTGGACCAAATGCAGGCAATAAAAAGCAAAAATCCAAGGAATTTGTTGTGAGAGAAAAGTGGTGGGGACCAGCCTCAGGGAAGGGTTTATTTGGGATCCCCTAAAACCAAGTGACTTATCCTGGTGTGCAACCACCAGCTCTTCTTTTGGACATCCAAGGAATCCTGATTCCCTCCATCCATCTCCGAGCTGAGCCGGTGTGGTGGAAAGCTTGGGGATCCGAGGTCTGCAGCTCGCTGGAGGTTTCAAACCACACATCCTCTTTTAATGGCCATGGATTTGGGGTTGGGGCTGGGAGGCAGCCAGAGCTCCTGCCACATCCGCTCCGGCACTGGCAGGGCGGATGCTGCCGGCTTTTCCCTCCACTTCCTATCCCGCAGCAGGAACCGCGGCTATTTTGGACACGTGGAACTTCCTCAGCTGTGGGATCTGCAGGAGCTGTCAGTGTCAGATCCTCCAGGGTAATTTCAGGGATTTGGGGCTTAGCAGGAGCTTTGAATGAGATTTTCTCAATAGGTACAGATAGTCAATCCCTTTTCCCACCCAGGTACCCATCACTGTAGGGCAGAACATCCCAGGATCCCACAACATCCCAGGAACACACTCCCAGAATTCTGGGTGTCTCCCAGCCCTTCATGCCATCGATCCAGGGTGATGCTGCTTTATCTGGGAAGACATTGCTGTTAATAACCTAGGAATTATCCATGATCCCGAGGGTGCTGACCCTGGCAGAGACCCTCAGCATTCCAAGCCCCTGCTGTAGGCAAGATCTGATGCCAGCAACTCCATGCAGATCCCTGCCAGCCCACCCATTCGGCAGGAATTGGGATGCAGGTGGCTCTGCATGCCACCAGCCTGTCCCCATGGCTGGGATCAGATCCAGGAGCTCTGACACCTGGGGTAGGGGGGGTCCTCCCTCTCTGCAGCCTTTTCTCACCACCCAGCTTTTCCCAAGGAGCCGGGTCGGGATCCAGGCACCGGTGACGATGGTGGTGACACCAGGGCCAGGAGCCGCCGCAGTCGGTGGGAATCTGACAGATTCCGGCTCTGCTCGAGTATTTTGGGGCCGCTGGCACCGGCGAGTCCCCGCTGCCGGCAGTGCATCATCCATACGTCTGTCCCTATATATATCCCTGCCTCCTCTCCCGGCCCCGCGTGCGACGGTTTGTGGCCTCTCCGCAGCTGGGATCACGCTGCTATTTCCATCTGCTCCCGCTGCCTGCCAGCACAAGGCACCGGGATCGGGAATCGCTGCGGATCCGTGCAACAGGAGCGCCCAGATCGCTGCGCTTCCAAAGATTTGGGAGGATAAAAGGAGCCCGGCGTTGGTGGCAGAGCCAGGATCGGTGGCACCAATGCCATTGGCAGCTTGGGAATGCCAAAATTCCCAGGTTTGGCTCAGCTGGAGGTGGAGCGGGGATAGGCAGCAGTCACCTCCCCTCCACGGGGGTGCAGGTGGCAAGGGGACAGTGTTGTCCCCTGCTGTCACGTCCAATACTGCATCCTGGGGCCTGAAGGGTGGATCCAGAGGGATCTTATCCTGTGCAGGGAGGACATGGATGGCCCTCCTGCCATCCCTGCGTTTGGAGTTTCATTTATTTATTTAAGACCGGCATTCTGTGAATTATTTAACAGCCACCAGTGCCTTTTCCATGGCACCAGGACACATGATATGGTTCCCTGCCTCTTCCTTCCCTTTGAAGCCACATTCCAGTCCCTATCCCATGCCAAGGAGCTCAGCCCAGACCTGAATGGGATGGGAACTCACTTGGCTCCGGGGGTCAGTGTTGTTTCTGAAGCCCCCATGGGGATCCTAATGCTAGCAGGATCCCAGAGTTTTGGGGAAATACTCCGTGATGGGTGGGATAATACTGTGGGAATGCTCAGGGCTGGGAGGGATAATGCTAGGGGGGGATGCTCAGTGCTGGGGGGATGCCCCCCCAACTGAACTGTGGTGCTCACCCATGTGTGGTGCCCCCGTTCCCACCCCAGGATCCACCCCCTGCATTCCTCCCATCCCACAGATGACTCACGCTGGCAGTTACTGACTGTCCTTTATTACTGAGAGCAGGGGCTGCCTCCAGAAAACGAGGGACCCCACTCCCCAAAAATAGGATTCTTCAAAGGAGACGCCCCGACCCGTGCGCCCCATCCTTGGCATCGCCAGCCGGGCACCCCCCGCTCCAGCCGCTCCTCAGCCAGGCCGGGCCGGGCTCTTTATTGGATTTTTATCTCTTTTTTTCTTTTTTTTTTTCTTTTTTTTTTTAATCTTTTTTTTTTTTGTCCTGTTTTTCTTTATTTTACACACCAGTTGGATGTTACCGTCACATGAAGAAGAGAGAACCTGAACAAGATCACGGCTACGAGCTCTAGAGTTAAAAATGAACACACAAACCCCCGGGGAGCCCGACCGCAGACGAGGAATCCAGCCTGGAAAAGCGGGGTGCCCGAGGGGCCGTGGGGGGCACCCGGCTTGGCACAGCCCTGGCCCTGCCACCTCTTCCCCAGGCATGTAAGTCTCTTCTTTTATGTTAAAAAAAGAGAGAATATGACAAAAATACAAATGTCCCTAAAAGCGTTGTTATTACTGTAATAGCAGTATTATGACTTCTCTCCAGATTGTCCAAAATCGTCTAAATTGGGGCTGTGGGAGCTGCTGGGAGCCAAGGTTGCCACGGGGGGAGCAGGAAGACTGAGGATGATCTGGTGTCTGCCATGGAGAGCCACCACCGACCCCCTTGTCACCCCTGTGGGGCTCCCAGGTGGGTCTGTCCCTGTTTTTGGGGGTCCCAGGGAGTGGAGTGGGAAGGGGTCTGGCGTGTGCATCCCAGGGCTCCGTGGGGATGCTGCTGCTGGCACTGATCCTGCCAGGCTGGCTGTCCCAAGGAATGCCACCAGCCCAGGGAATGTCACCTGCCCTCGATGGGGACAACAGCGCTCGCTCCACCCTTTATCCCCAGGGGTGGGCACGGAGCTCCCGGGGCAGCCCCGGCGCCCGGATCAGCCCGGCTGGAAGGGGACCCTGTGGAGCTCTGCATTCCCCCGAGGGGCCCCTTCCAGCCCGGGCTGGGCGGGAGGGCAGGACCGGGGTCCCCAGGGCGGCGTAGGGACCCCCCCGCTCCCGCCGAAACCCAAGATGGAGGTAAAGCATCGAACCCGGCTGAAGGCAGTGCACGAAGGAGCCCGCTTTGGATAAGGAACTGTGTCATGGCTTCCGATCCCAGGAAAAGGGGCTGTCCCCTGCCCTCGGTGTCCCCCGCCCGCCCCGGGAGACTCGAGGGGGGCGCGGGGGGAGGAGGTGGGGCAGGGGGGCTCCGTGGCTCCGCTGGCGGCTCCGAGAGGTTTTATGGAGCTGAAAGGGGAGGGAGGAGGGTCCCTCTTGCACCCGCAGCCTGACCCCCTGAAATAGCGGGGGGGGGCGAGGCCGGGGAGGGGCCGAGGGGCTCCGGGAGCGGGGCTGGAAGCACTCGCAGGAGTCCTGCCCGGTGGTGGGAATAGGGATGGGGGGGACATCGCTTCTGGCACCTCCTCGGCCGGGGTTGGGGGCGGCTCCGCACCCCCCGCACCCCAGGGAGAGGCGAACCCAGGGGCTCGGGGGGGCTCCGTCCCCGTCCTCCCGCAGGGTTCCCGCGAGCCAGGCCGCTGTCCCGCCGGTCCCTGGCCGGGAGCGCCGCGGGAAGGGGCTGGGAGCTGGGAAGGGGCACCCCGAGCCCGCGGTGCGGGGGCGCTCAGGCCTTCAGCTGGTGCCACTGTGCCACCGCCTGCCGCGGGCGGGCGATCATGTCCTTCCAGTGCTTCACCTCGCCGGGACCGCTCTTCCAGGACAGGTAAATCTGCGGGAAACGCATCCCTGGAGCCACCGCGGGCTCTCCATCCCCACCCATCCCGCTGCCCGGCGCTGACGCCTTCACCCCCAAACTGCTCCAGCCCCGCTTTTCCGGGCTCGGCACGGGGCCGGGCTATTTTTATCCCTCAGTTTTCCATATGGCACCGCGGGAAAGCGCGTGTGCCAGCTCTCACTGCTGCTGCTGCTGCCACCTCGGGGAGCCAGAGCCACCGCTCCGCGGATCATCGCGGAGAGCCGGGATGGAGCCGAGCTCGCTGCTAATTGTGCGATCGAAAGTGATTAGCGAGCCTCAGGCCACGGCGGGGTTTTAACGGAGAGTGGGATATCGTGGCCACTGCCTGTCCATCCCTGGAATCAGGCTTTTGGATGTGCCCACACTGGGGACGTTGCCACCGCTGCCCCTGCCCGGCAGCACGCAGTGCTGATCCAGGGATTTATTTAATGGATTTATCCCAACTGCTGAGTTGTCTCGACCCCAGCACAGCGTTTGGGGATCACGGATGGGGATTATGGTGCTCGTTTGTCAACGTTGTGCTAATGATGAGCTGGGTGATTTAATGGATAATTCCACTGCTCCCGTCCCCGGGAGTAATCCCAGGGGGTGGGATCCATCCCTGTGCTCCATCCCTCCATCCCTGCCTTTCTGGGAGTGCTCCGGCCCTCTGTGGCCATGACACCCAGCATGAGGGGTTCACACAGCACTCCACACTGGAGATGGCACCAGGTGCCGGCAGCCCCGGGCCTGCCTGTCCCCAATTCCCACCTGGGTGTCCCTCAGGCGTGTCACCCACCTTGCCAATGACGTCATTGCGGCTCAGCCTGTCCTTGTCCATGACGGTGATGACGATGGTGGTCTCGCGCAGCCGCTCCGTGGGGATGTCGAAGGCGAAGGACTCGTTGAAGACGGGGTTCAGGCACCTCTTCATCACCACCGTCTTCTTCTTCTCCACCCGCTTGTCCTTGTACATCAGCCACACCTTCACGTAGGGATCTGGCGGGAGAGGAGCCGCTCTCAGCCCCGGATGGGAGCCAGGGAATGCTGCCCGGGATCGGGGCCAGCCAGTACCGTACCTGAGGTGCCCCCGATGTCCATGGCTTTGAGGTTCCTTGCCTTGATGATGTTCACCACGATGGAATTGGCTGAGGGATTGTAGCACAGCGACAACAGCAGCTCCCCACGGCTTCCCTGCAGGACACACATGTTCCCTGAGGACACCCACGCCCCCCAGAGCTCCTCTGTGGGAGTTGGGTGCTGGCACGGGACCCCCACCAGAGCAGCCCAAGGGTGGGGCTTGGGAAGGCACGGAAAATCGGGGCAGGAGGAAATGGGGTCATCCCCAGTGGGACATTTTCTGGTCTTGCTGGAGGCAGGAGAAGGAAAAAACTTTCATTTTAGGTCTACCTGAAACAGTTTGATTTGACCCATAATGAGACTTTGGGCTACTTAATATAACATTTGGGAAGAGAAAAATCTCTGTCAGATGTTGAAGGAGAAAATGTCCCTGTTGGGATGGAGGGTGGTCCTGTTGGGACACTGCAGGGACAGGGAGTCACCTCCCCTCCCCAGGGGGATTGAGGGGGGTCCAGAGCCTTACACTGCCATCACTGCAGGGCTTCAGGTCCTTCCAGAAGGTCTGCATCTGAGTCAGGTCCACCTTGTTGAGCGGGATGGACACCTCTCCAATGGGATCATTGCGGCTGAAGCGGTCGTAGTCCAGGACCTGGAGGTACAGCACCCGCTGCACCACCTTCTCGTAGGGGAACCCTGTGGCACAGAAGGAAAAGCCAAAGGAGATGAGGAGCAGTTCCAGCGCTGCTCCACCCCGTGCTGGTGGCAAGACCCTGGCACCAGGCAGAGGATGGGGAGGAGCCCACCACACAAGGAGCTGCTGCCACATTAATTCCCACATCTGCACCCACTCATGGGAGCACGGAACCTTCCAAACCTTCCCCTACATCCCCTTTATGGGATGCACATCCAGCCTGGCCTCAGTGGCTTGGCCAACCCATCACATCACTACCAGCCACCACTCCGGTGACTCAAGCTGAGCGGAACCCCACGAGGCTCCACTCCCACCCTGATGCCCTCCAGCCCATCCCAATCCATACCTTCAAAGAGGAAGGTCTCGTTCCAGTGCGGGTTGAGGTTCTTCCTCTTGACCTTGGTCTCCAGCTTGTGCTTCTTGTCGGGGAGCAGGTAGATCTTGACGAAGGGGTCGCTGGTGCCGCTGAAGTCCTTGGCTGGCAGCTCCTGCGCCTTCATGATCTTCACGGTCAGGGTGGACTCCTGGAAGTTGTAGCCGACGCTGAACTGGATGCGGCCCAGGTTCTCCCGGCTGACGCCTTCGTGGCCCTCGTCATCCTCGGAGCCTGGGGAGAGCTGCGGGAGGGGGGCAGAGGAGGGGGGGTGAGCGCAGTGCCGGGGACTGGCAGGGACCCGACCCCCGTCCCCCAGACCCCAGCCCCGCCAGCTGTCAGGGGACATCAGCCTCTGCCCGGCTTCCCGCTGCCCCCACCGCTTCCGACGGCTCCTGGCTCGGCGCCACTCGTCCCGCGGAACGGGAGCTCCAATTATCCAAATTCCTCCTGACAGCGCATCCCTCACGTGTCCAGCACCGCTCGCTCCCTCGTGCCAGCCTGGGGGACACGTCCGCGGCGCGTCGGCTTGGCCGACGGGGACTTGGCACAGCGGGCAGGGACGTGCCGGAGCGCTTGCGGATGGCGCGGGGAAGAGCTGGGAGGGTTGGATACCGAGCGTGGAGACCCCCAAACCCAGCGCACCCCACCCACCCACCATGAGCATCTCGCTGGTCAGGGAGTTGACCAGGTCGGAGACGGAGGAGTGCGGCTCCGTCTTGCGGTCGGACTCATCGTGCGGCGGCTGCCCCGGTGCCGGTGCCGCATTCCCAGCCTTCCCACCGGCCGGCAACCTGCGGGAAGAGAGGCCTTGGAGGAGAGGGGCCGGGAGCCGAGGGCGAGACAGCGAGGGGCTTCCCGGGCGCCCTCTGCCAGCGGACACCGAGCCTGCGCTGTGCCAGCGCCCGATGGACGCTGCCGGGACAGGCGGTGGCTGCAGCCCGCCAGCGTCCCGGCCTTGTCCCAGAGCCAGCCGGTGGCCCGGCACCTTTGGGGCACGGCAGCAGCTCCCCCTGGCCACGTCCCACGGCGATGGCAGGGACAGCGCGGTCCCCACAGCACCCACGGCTCTGGCTGCTCCTCACACACCAACACCCTCTTATCCCGGTGGGTGCCAGGCACCCACGGGTGCTCCACGTGGGCTCGCTGCCCCCTGCCCCGCTTCCCTGCGGCTGAGACACCCCTGGGATCACTGTCCTGGCTGTCCCCACGCTCGGTGGCTCCCGGGCACAGTGCCGGGCAGGGCGGGCAGCCGGGAGCGGTGGGAGGCAGACGGACAGAGCAGCGATGGTGGAGACAGGCGGGAATGCGCCGAGGCCACGCTGCCACGAGGCACGGGGACAACGGGACACAGGCGCGTGGCGGAGGGGACGGGCGGCCCGGGATGCTCCCCCCCGCCACGGCTCCTGTCCGAGCTGGGACACGGTGACAAACCACCAGACGGACCGAGAGGCGCAGGGACACACGGGAAGCCACAACATGCCACGGACACGCGCCACCACGCCAAGCACACGCAGACACACGGGGAGGGGACACGGGGGGAGGGCGATGGGGACACCCACACGCACACACGGGATGGCACCCAGGAAGGACCGGAGAGGCCGAGGCAGCTGGGGAGGCAAAATCAGGTTAAAACCAGGGAAAATGAAGGTGGAGGAGCCGGCGGCGCGGCCGCTGAGCGAGGAGGCGCCGGTGGAGCCGGGAATGCCGGCGGAGGTCACGGATAGCGGGAGAGAGAGCGGGAGAGAGCAAAAGAAAGGAGGAGCAGCGTCGTCCAGCGCCGGCCTGCCGGGAGGGAATGGGAGAGAGGAGCGGGGCGGGTGGACGGACAGACGGAGTCGCCGGGACAGGAGACACGCCGAGGCGCCGGGCTGGAGCCGCCGGGGACAGGCTGGAAGGAAGAAGCTGCGAAACAGGGATGGAGGAGATGTTTTGAGGAAGAAGAGCGGGTGGTCGGCAGCGTCGGGGGGCGGGAGAGAGCCGAGGCTGCCGGAGCGCGTCCCCTCCGCCGGCTGATCCCGCCGCGTCCTGCGGAGTCCAGGGAACGAGGAGCGGGAGGGATGGAGGTGGGGAATGCCATGCATGTGCTGGGATGGGGCTTCGGAGCAGGGAGCTGCGGCAAGCGGGGAGCAGGGAGCGGGGTCTTGCGGCACAGCCACCCACCCGCCGTGTCCCACGTCCCCGTCCCCTCGGCACGGGGCAGCCGGCGGCCGGCACGGGCTGCCGGTGCTCCCGGCGGGGACCGGCTGCGCAGCGCGACGCCGGGGAGGGAAGTGCTAAAAGATGGAGCGAAACCAAGCGGAGCGGGGTAAAAATAGCCGGCGGGCGAGAACGGTGCCAGTTCATCCGCACGCCGAGCACACGGGGAGGCAGCGCCCGCCGGCTTCACACCTCCTCCCCGCTCCGGAGGGGATGAACACCCGCTCCCGGCGGCGCACGGACCCTCTGCCTCTGCCAGCCAGCGCCGTGGCCGCGGCCGGGCGCCGGTGCCCGGGCTGGATGCGCTGCCGAGCCTGCGGCACGTCGGGAATGCGGGAGCAGCCGGAGGCGAGGGGCTGTGCCGTGCCGGAGGAGAACCGGGGGTGCAGCATCCTCCGGCCTGTGGCGCTCGCTCTGCCCCCCTGCCACCGCAGCGGCATCCCCGGATCCCCGGGAGAGCCGCCCATCCCGCCGGGATGGAGGTGGCAGCAGCGTGTCGGGATGGAACGCGGCTCAGCCCATGCGGCATCGCTTGGGGGGTACCCCCCGTGCCCCCCTGTCCCTGAGCGTGTCCCCCCGCCCCCCCTCCCCGCATGCAGCCAGGGCCGGAAAGGGCAGGAGGGGCAGGGAGGAGGGAGGAGGGAGGAGGAAGGGATGGGGGTCCTCTCGGTGCCGCTGCTCCAGAGGCAGAACCGCGGGTGCCGGTGCCGGGGAGAGCTCAGACGTCCCGGGGCCCGCTGGGCCACCCTGTGCCGCTCCAACCTTCGCGCTCCACGAGGCCAGCCTCCTCCTCCTCCTCCTCCTCCACCCTGGGTGAGGCCCTCGTCTCCTCCTCCTGCGGGACTGGCCTCGTCCTCGCTCATACCTCTTGTCCCCCTGAGCGTTCGCCTGGTTCGGCTGCGTCCCAGCGGGTTGCAGGTCGGGAATATTGGCAAAGTCATCTTGCTCTGAGAGTCCCAGAACCAGGGATAGCACCACCATCCGGCCTTCCCTGCCCGGGCGGCCCCGCCGGCAGCGGGAGAAAGAGAGAAAGAGAGAGGAGAACACAGCGTCAGGCAGGGAACCGGCAGGAGCCGGCGGCGTCCCGCGGAGCCCCGGCGGCGAGGGGACCCCCGGCTCTCCCCGCCGGCCCCTGCGAGGTGACGGTGGCCGGGATGGGCGCACAGGGCTGTGGGGAGAAAGGCGCCGGCTCCAGGGAGCCCGGCAGGCGTGGATACCCGCGCCGTCCCTCTCCTCCACCGGTCCGAGAAAGGAGGATGCCAAAATCCTGATGAAAAGGGGGAAAAGATGCCTGGAGGGGCTGGGAATGAGGGAGAGCGTGACAGGAGTGAGGTGCCAGCAGCATTCCATGGAGGAAGGGATTGGCGGTGCCATGGCCGGGCTCTTTGACCTCTCCGGGTCTGTAACTGCATTTACGCCGCGGCGCCGGGGAGGGTGAACGGGGTGAAAGAGCGGAAGAAAAATCGATGGATGGGGAAAGAGGCGGTGGGGAATGACAGCGGCTCCTCCGCTGGGAAGCAGCGCTGACTCGGCACGTCTGGGCTCTGCGGCTGCTGCTCCCTCTCCGCCAAGTCAGGCTGGAACCAGCACGGGCGCTGGGTAAACAGGGAGAACGTGACCCTCGGGATGGCTGGTGAGCCGCGGCTCCACATCGGGAAGCCGGGAAATGGAGATGGGAGGAACCTGGGAGAGCGGAGAGGGGATGGGGGGCAGTGCACCCGAGGGTGCCTGGAGGAAGGTTCAACCCTCTCACCAGAGTGGGAAGGGGTGGGATGGGCACCCAAATCTGTGTCTCTCATCTAATCCTGATGCAGGGTCAGTCCTGCATCCCCCTCCAAGTGCCACCAGCCTGCGGAAAGCAAAGCTGGGACCTCAGCATTCCTTTTTCCAGGATGCCAGGGGGCAAACAGCGGCCGGGGAGGAGCTGCAGAATCCAAGGGAAGATGGAGCCGGGGGGCCCAGCTCTGCAGAGGGGGGACAATGTCATGTGCCGAGACAGGGTGACAACACGGGACTCGGATTAGTCCCCGGGGTTTGATGCTGGAAATCCAGCGCCGATGGAGGAGATGGGGTTAAGGCGGATTAGAGATCCCACGGCTCCTCTGGCTGGGAATGACATCGGGGCCCAACTCACGGTCACCCGGCACAGGAGACTCTGCCACCCACACTGTGACAACTCGGGACAATGTCACTCCCTGGGGGCCTCGCTGGTGGCCATCCCTGGGGATGGAAGGGGATGGCCAGGGACGTGGCAAAGCTCATTGGGGAAGGGCATGAGCTCTTCCCTGAGCCCCCCGTGAGCCGGGGGGACATGGACCTTCCCAAAGGCCATGGGCAGCGTGTCCCCAAGGGGGTGACAGATGAGCGGCCATGCCGGGGCAAGTAAAGGAGCAGAGGAGAGAGGGATGGAGAGAGGGCTCTAGAGAGGGATGAGCAGAGGGATAGAGCAGAGCAGAGGGGGATGGAGAGGAAATGGAGAGAGCAAAGGAGCGGAGGAGAGCAATGGAGAGAGGGGTGGAGAGAGCAAAAGAGCAGAAGAACAGAGCGGTGATGGAGAGTGATGGAGCAGAGAGAGCAAAGGAGGGGAAAGGATGGAGAGAGGAATGGACGGGGGTGGAGAGGAGAACGCAGAGGGCAGTGATGGCGAACGCACACTTACAGGAAGGACTTCATGTCCAAGCCGCGGTTGCGGATTTGCCCCACCACGTGATCCCAGCTGCCGGGGTTGGAGCGGCTCCTGCCCCCGGCCATGCGTTGCTTGGAGCCGGCGGCGGTGCCCTGGCGCGCCGGGCCGCCGCCGCGGGAGCCCCGGGAGTTGGCGGCGGCGGCGGAGGAGCCGCTGTGGGCCTGGAGGTGGCCCAGGCTCTGGCTGGTGGTGGGCTGGCTGTGGTTGGCGCGCTGGTGCTGGCTCAGGGGCTGCTGCAGACTTTGCTGGCGCACGAGCGTGCGGGGCCTCTGGAATTTGGGATCGCCTGCTGAGGTGGGGATATACTCAAGGGTAGTGGCTGTGGACAGGGTGGAGTCCTCGAAACTTAGGGAGAGGAAGGGTAGAGGAGAGGAGAGAAAGGAGAAGAAGGTGAAGGGGCAAAATTGGAGGAAGGAAAAGAAGAGAGTTAGAGAGAAGATGCCCCAGCGCAGGGAGCGCTCCGGCGGGAGCCAGCGGGGGCAGCGCCCGGATCCTCCGCCTCTCGCCCGCGGCTCGGCCCTGCCGGCGGCACGGGGGGCCCGGGCCGCCACCATCCTGCCTCCCGGGGGGCTCGCCAGGGCCGGATGCCCACCCGCTCCCGCGGCCGCCGCTCCGCCAGCGCCTTCCCAGCACGCCGGCCGACCTGCTCTGCGGGATAATTAGGCTGCTGCGGGGAGGCAAATCCCGTGGCGCCCGCTCACGTGCTGCCAGCCAGCCCATCCCAGCGTCCCAGTCCCTCCCAGCCCAGCCCAGCACCCAGCAGCGGCGCCGCGGGGCCTCGGCGTCCCTTCCCCTCCGTGCTGGGCGCTGCGGGCAGGGGGCAATTCCGCAGCGCCGCGGCGGGGGCCGAACCCCCGGGGTGGGGACATTCCAGCGAGGCGTCCCCAGGGCCAAGCCAGGCTCCAACCGGGGCGGGAGATCGTGGGGTTGGGGGATACGGACGCAGCTCTGGTGGGACACAGAGCCCGGGGCAGACGGGCTTCGTGTGGGCGGCGGAGCGGAGGGAGCAGCGGGATGCCCCGAGGAAGCGGCGCTGGCCATGCAGCACATGCGTGGCGCGGCCCATGCAGCCGCGCCGGATTGCCCACGGCAGCCTGGGAAGCTCGTGGCCGCGAGATCAGGGGAGGAAAGACCTCCCGGGACCACCGCCTGGCACGGAGGGGTGGCCTCGAGCAGCAGCCCCCGACCCTGTCCCCGTCCCGAAGCTGTGCCATCGTGCAGTGCCAGCAGCGGGGACAGAGGAGGAGCGGGGAGGGATAGACAGCTCCATAAAAACCAAAAAAAAAAAAAAAAAAAGGAGGTGAAGAAAGAGCGAAAGGTGGGAGAAAGAGAGAGAGAAGAGGGAAGGGAGTGGAGAGGAGCGGAGAGCTGGGACGGACGGAGCCCCACGGCCGGGGCCAAAGGCACTGCCCGGACGCTGCCGCGCCCCCCCCCCTCCGCGCTGCCGCCGACCTCCTTTCGTTTTCCTATCGAATCCTAAATTAGTTCAATTTACAACCTCTCAGTCACAGGAAACTAAATCTGGCTCCTGTCGGCCCCGCGCCAGCTGGAGCCGCGAGCTCCTCCAGCGCCGTGCCAGGCGGCGCCGCGCCCTGCCCGTGCCCGTGCCCGTGCCCGCATGGATCCCCTGGCACCGGCACTGCCAGACCCTCGGCACGGACCCCCGGACACCCCAACCACGGCGGCGCTGCGCCAAGGGGATGCCGGAAAACGAAGAGCTCCGCCACGTCCCCTTAACCCTGCCCTTGCCGCCTTGCTCCATCCCATCCGTCTGTCCGCGCTCCCAGCGCGGGGACGGCTGGAGGCTGCGCCGCTCCCGCTTTTCCTCGCCTTTCCTTCCCTCCTGCTTCCCAGCGCCCGACTGGAGCGCAGCAGCCTCACGCCGAGCGGGCGGTGTCACCGAGCTGTCCCGGAGTGCCCGGGACCCCCCGGCTGCCGCATCCCAGCGCGGAGAACCGGAGCAGAGACCGGGAACGCCGGACAGAGGCCACAGCCGGCACCCCCCGCCAGAGGCACGGCGCTGCCAGCAGTGAAGGGTCTCGCCGAGACCCCCACCCCGGCCTGGAGCCCCGCAGAGCCTGGCAGAGCTCGGATCTTCCCTAAACCTGATCGTTTCCCCAACTTTTCTCGGCATCAGGTGGTGGTGCCGGCGCCGGGTCCGGTGGCTGTGCCGGGGGCCAAGGGAGCGCACGGGGAAGGGGGGGAAGATGCCACACACTGTCCCTGATTGTCCCTGAGAGATGGGAGCGTGGGACAGCACCTCCTGCCTTTGGGACACCACCGAGGTGGCGCTGCCTGCCCTGAGAAGCCCAGCTGGGAATGCTGAGCCGCTTCCCATCGGGATTGTGCAGGGCCACCCTCAGCGCTGGGGACAGCGCCCAAAGGTGCTGCTCCTGCCCGGCCGCCTCCTCTGCTGCCCCTGAGCCCAAACACCGCTGGGAGAACGGGAAACGCCTCCTCTCCCTCGGCACGGTGGTCCCCGGGGACCTGTCGGTGTCCCCCATCCAAACGCATCCGCAGCGGGGAGCGGGCCCCGGGCCCGCCGGCCGTGGCCGTGCCGTGCCGGACCGTGCCGTGCTCACTCACTTGGACAGGCTGAGCTTCCCTGCGGCCAAGTGGCTCTGCACCGTGTGCCAGCGGCCCCGTGCCGCCTTTCCAGCTCCGGGCTCGCTGTGGGCGGACACGCTGCTCCTCATTCCATCCTCGCCGAGCCGCTGCTTGTCCCCGGGCCGGCCGTCGCGGTCCCCGGACAGCCCGGCGGCGGCCGACGCCGTCAGTTTGGCCCCTGATAACAGAGAGCCACTGGGCCGGGCCGGCGGCCGGACCCCCCCAGACAGACACGGAAGGAGCCGGACGGACACACGGATGGACGTGGAAAACGTGGGGAGCCGTCGGGGAATGAGGGGAGGGCGACAGAGCCGGAGGGGGCAGACGGACAAGAGACGGACAGACAGACAGAGAGAGAAAGAGAGACATCAGCACTGCAAAAAAAAAAAAAAAGGGGGGGGGGGGGTCCTGGCCGCGGGGTGCGCGGGGGCCTCGGCAAAACATCCAAGAGAAAGGGCGGAGGAGGGAGAGGGCTCGGGAAGGAGGGTCCTGCTCGCCGGCAGCCCAGCCCCGGGGGGGACCCGTCCCCGCGCCGAGGAGGTGCCCCCAACGCGCAACCCCGTCCTGGAGGGAGATCCCGGCCGGCCCCGGGAACGCGGGAAGGAGGGGTTGCTCGTCTCCATGGGACGGCCCATGGGGTGGCGTGCGGGGAGCCCGGGAGCAAGAGGAGGAGGAGAAGGAGGAGGGAAAGGGGGAGGAAGAGGAGGAGGAGGAAGGCGAGTGGGTGCTGCCCATATACTCACTACACGGAGCAAACTCGGTAAGGAGAGACTCACTTGAGGGAAAGGCGCGGATCACCGTACGGAGCGTAAGGAGAAATGTTTAGGATAAACTCCTTGGGAGGGTAGGAGCTCCATTTCTGCTGCACTGTGTTGTCATTGTTATTCCAAAAGTCTCTGTCTAGATCGCTACAGCGGCCGGATTCCGGGGGAGAAAGAAAAGGGAAATACAAGAGAGAGAAGCTGAATTCCTGCGAGAGAGAAGGAAAATCAGCCCTCCGCCCCCGGAGCGCCAGGATCCTGCGGAGAGAGACAGGGAGCCCACCCCTCGGACACCAACACGCACACACACACACACACACACGGGCACGGACAGAAGGATGGATGGAAGGATGGAAGGATGGGAAGAGCTGCGGAGAGACAGGAGCGGGCGGCTCCACCGGCTGGGAAGGAGAGAAGGATGTGGGGGGTGACGGAGGCGTCGGCGAGTGCGGTGCTGCCTGCCCGGCATTCCCAGATGTGTGTCCGTGCGCCCTCGGGCACGCGTGTCCGTGTGTCCTCGCCTGCTCAGCAGCCGGCTCCTGGAAGCGCTTGGTTAACCCTGACAGTGCTGCCTGCTGGGGACCCTTCTGGATCCCTTCCCTTGGGGATCCCTTCTCTTGTGGATCCCTTCTCTTCCAGATCCTTCCAGATCCCTTCCCTTGTGGATCCCTCTCCTTGTGGATCCCTTCCCTTGCGGATCCCTTCCCATGGAACTGGCCTGCTGCCAGCACAGAACCTGGACCTCCTGGCTCTGGGAAGCCACTGGAGCTGCGTGCCAGGGGCTGGGGGGCCCAGCAGCTCCCCGCTGGTGCTGGGAGACTGGAAAAGTCTCCAGTGTCCACCTGCAACTCCGGGTTGATCCCGGCTGTATGGAATGTGCTGGAGTCTGGGAAAGCTGCCCATGCCATGGCATGGGGTGGGATGCGCCTTCCCCTCCGTTCCCAGCTCATCCTGGTTGGCTGGGAGCAGCCATCCAGGTGTCCCTGCCCCCCGATAACACCCAGGCCAGCCATAGGAGGAAGTTTTCCATAGGCTTATTCCAGGCAGGAGCTTTTTCCCTCCTGGTGGTCCAGCTCCCCCCTCCCTGGAGGCCTGTGGAGATTGTGGAGAGGCAGTGCTGGATCTGGGATGCCCAGGAGAACACCCTCAGCTTCCAGCCTCCACTTCACTCCCTACCCAGCGCCGTGGGATGCCCCAGCTTGGCTCTCCTTTCTCCATGGAATGCCCAGGGAATGCAGAGCTGCTCCAGCCCTGCTGGGCAGAGCTCAGAATCCACACCCAGGCCCGGAGCATCCCTGGGGACACCCACGCCGACGTTCCCGTGACTCCGTCATGCCCACGGCTCAGTGGGATACACGGGGATGCTGGAGACACCCACCAGCTCTCCCAGACTCCTGGAGCCCCTCTCCCACTGGGAGAAGGGATGGCCACCTCTGTCCTTCCTCTCCCCCCCCATTCCTGGCACCTACTTGATGGTTTTCTTTTCGCTGCGGCCTCGGCTGGAATCCGGAGTTCCCACAGTCTCCAGGGAAGTCTTGTAACGCTTTCCCTGTGGAAAAGACAGGAGAGGGGGTCAGGGGGTCACAGAGGACCCCTGGACCATCCCAGTGGAAGATGGGAGCTGCCACCACCTGGAGATCTGGATTTTGCCCTCTCCCTTATGGTCTCCAGGCTCCATCCCACCCATCCAGGCAGCAAAATTCCCAAAGGCTCCATCCCTTGGTCCCTGGGTGATCGTACCCTGCCTCACCCCAAGGACAGCATGGCCACAGCCACCGGCATCCCATTCCATGGCCTCACTGGGAAGGAGTGGATAATTTTAGGCCTAATTGGGCCTGAATTAATTGAGTTCACGTTTCCCAGCGCCAGGGAAGTGCTGCCATAGGATAATGAAGCTGGAGCTGGCTCCAAACTGGGGCTGGTAATCAGGGCATTCCGGCAGGTTCCGAGCGCTGCTCTGAGCCAGGGTGGGCAGGAGCCAATTAATGCCAATTATCCAACAATTGGGAGCGAGGATGCTCCATGCAGTGCCAGGTGGATGAGGTGGGACGGGAACAGCTGCTGGAGCAGGATGGGGTGGAGAACCAGCCCTTCCATCCCACTGTCCTGGATCTCAGGAGGCAGGCCTGACCCTGCCTGCCCATGGAATGGGAATGTTTTTCCTTTCTCCTTCTTCCCAGCCTCTTCATATCCACATGGAACCATCTCCTTGGCTTGCTGGGACACCTGGACCCTCAGCACGGTGTCCTTGGGCAGCCAAGGGCTAATCCTGCCAGGAGCTGCTGGGGAACACCTGGACCTCCTTGGATTCCCAAGGACTAATCCTGCCAGAAGCTGCGGGGAAACACACCTGGACCTCCTTGGATTCACATTGGCTAATCCTGCCAGGAACTGTTGGATCTCCTTGGATGCCCAAGGGCAGATGCTGCCCGGAGCTGTAGGGGAGCACCTGGACCTCCTTGGATGCCCCTGGGCTAATCCCACCGGGAGGCCCGCGGCTGCCTGACCTCGCTGGATGCTCACAGGCCATCCCAGAGGGAATCATCCGTGTCCCCAGCTGCGGCGCCTCGGGGCTCCTGGGGACACGGCAGCGGTGGCCGCGTGGGCGGGCCCGGAGCCGGCCGGGCTTGGCCGTCATTCCCACACAGCCGCTCCAGCTCCGGGCGCTCTCGAGGGCCGGTCGGGATGCGCCTTCCCGGCCAATTCACGCTCCTTTGTTCCTGTGCCAGCTCCAGCCTCCTCCTTTCCAGGGCTTTTTCCTCCCTCTCCCCATCCCCTGCGTGGCACCTGGAAGGGCCCTTCCCACCCACCGCCCTCCCGCTGCCTCACCGCCCTGCGGACCCCCTCTCCCATTCCCAAGGGAATGCTGCCTTCCCACGGCTGGGGGTGGGCATCTCCCCGGCGGGAAGCGCCGCTGCCATCGCAGCACTTGACCCAGATTCGATTCCGATGGCGAAGGAAACGTGGCTGAGCACGTCCTGCTCCCGGGAGAGGAGCCGGAGCAGGAGGAGGAGGAGGAGGAAGGATGAGGGCGGGCGGGAGCGCTGTCCCGAGCCCCCGGTGGCAGTCGGGGAGGGAAGGAGGGATGCACAGCGGGTGGCAGGGATGGCTCACGGCGCCCGGCGCTGCCAGGCAAGGGCTGGCCGCCTTCCCACGGGGCTTTTCCAGGCAGGAGCGTGCCCAGCAGGACAGGGGCCAGCTCGTTCCGGCTCGTCACCAATATATATCCATATATTTGGAAACTTCCCTTTGTGCCACACAAACAGTTTCGCCCAAACATTTCATTAGCACATCCGGAAAAGCCCAAATAAAAGCTGCAGCCGGCAGCTCCGGGGAGCTGCCTCCGCTTGGCTGCTGCTGCCCTGCAAGAGGGAATCGCCCCCTGGCCGGCGGCACGGGGGGCGCGCCGGGATGCCGGGAAGGCGGGAGGGAAGGCGGACACTCACCATTTTCCGCTGGCACCACTGGCAGATCCCGCAGAGGACGATGGTGACGCTAAGGCTGACGGTGATGATGGCTGAGACCAGGAGGACGTCGCGGGAGGGGGTCCCTGGGGGGAGCAGAGCACAAAGCGGGGGTCAGAGCTGAATCCTGGGGTGTCCCTGGCGTGCGCCGGGGCACAGGGAGGGAAAGCACAGGGAATGTGGTCCAACAGGCTCCAAACTCCGCTCTGCTGTGTCCCGTCACGGTGGCCACCCCCTTGGCTTCTGGGCTCCCGGCGAGTGTGTCCTGGGGGGAATCCGGCCTGAGCGCTTCCCGGCAGCTCAGCTTGGAGCTTTAATTCCCGCTGGCACCCTGGGAGCGCCGGCAAAGGCCGCGAACGCTGCTTCGTGGGCCGATCCCACACGGATTCATCCCAAATGGCAGTGCAGACCCACTCCTCCCCAGCCTGGCCTTGGGGGCAACCTTGGGGACCTCAAAAACGTGGGAAGGGCCCGTCAACCTCATCCAGCACTTCTGCTCACGCTCCCAGCATGCGGAATGACCACTGCGGGATACGGAGAATATGGACCCAAGGCGGCTCGGAGGGGTCCGGCGGGACCCCGGACCAGCTCAGCTTTGTCTCCAGGCAGGACCCCCAGCCCAGCATCCCTGTGGATGCTCCGCCTCCCGCCGTGCCCGCTGGGATGGGATTGTCCGTGGCGGGAGCCCCAGCTGGCGGCGGGAGGCGGCGAGGCCGGAGCAGCGCCGGGAGCAGCGGTGCTGCAGTATAAATATTAAACAATAAATGTTAATAATTAATTCGCCCGCAGACCTTGTTATTGTAACGAAAATTCCCGGCGGCTCCGAGGCCGGGGTGAGTCAGAGTGGACCGGGAGGGGGGATCAGGGCTCTGGAATCGCTCCCGGCACGTGCCGAGGCAGCCACGGCTCCCACATCCCCGCTGGAATCCCACGAGGAAAGGGGGTGGTGGCCGTGAAAGGGGAGATTTGTGACAATTCCTTGAGCAGGAGATGAGGGTGGCATGAGGTGGGGGTGGCTCTGGGGACAGGTCCCCCCTGCAGCACCCGCGCTCTCTCCATCCAAAGGCAGCTCCTCCATCGCTCCCGGATCACGAGGAGCCTGTGTATAAAACTCACATAGCAACTGTTGCCTAGGAGGGAATTTGGGACCAGCCCTTAATTTCCAACATTTATAAACCCCGGCTGGATAAGCTGCCGGGGGAATGGGCAGCAGCCGGCACGGCCGGAGAGCTCCGGGCGCCTCCCCTCGGCTGCGACCCCGGCCAGTTCAAGCGGCCCCGGGCCTTACTGGGCGGGCTGGGAATTGGGGTGAGAGCTCTCCTTGCCCCGCCGCTTGGTGCTCCCTGCTCCAGCCTGGGAACACCGTGACCCCTCTGGCTCAGCCCGGAGCTCCCGCAGATCCTTCGGTCCTCGCGGGGTCAAGTTGACCCTCAAATTAATCCGGAGAGAGGGAATCGAAGGAGAAGGAGAGGGAAGGGGTGGGCGCTGCGGAGGCCACCACGGCCGTGGCGGTGTCTGGAGAGGGACATCAGCGAGCGCCGGTTCCCGGGGCCGAATTCCCCGTGCCAAGGCTCCACACACCCCCAGCCTGGCGTCACGCCGTGATCCTGATGGATTCACCGGCGGGATCCTGCCTGGGGGGCTCCAGGGGGTGTCCCTGTGCACGGGGTGGGTCCCGCCCTTCCCGGTGGGATCACGCCGTGTCCCCAGGGCGGGGGGAGCGACTCCGGCCCCCAGGCTGCGCCGCCCTCAGCATGACTTAAATGACTCGTTTTCCAGGCAATTAGCGTTCGATTAATTAAAGACTCGGAGCCGCTCAGAGTTCCTGGCGCGTCCCCAGCCCTGGGGCGCGGTGCGGGGGTCCCTGTGCCGGACGGGATGCGCGGCTCGGGATGCCCTGGGGAGGGTGGATCCAGGGGGGACGCGGGGAGCCGCGTGGCTCCGGGACACAGCCCCGGGAGCGGGGGACAAGGTGAAAACGCGACGCTTGTTTACGCCGCCGCTGGCCCTCCTTCCCTGCCGCTCTCCATAAATCTCCGCGGCTGCCAGCGCGGATCCAGGCGGGAGCACGGAGACGGCTGGGAGGGACTTGGGGGTCCACGGCCATGGGCTCCCTGCGGCCCTGTCCCAAATCCCGGCGGCCCTTCGCTGGTCCTGCCTCATGCCGAGGGCGCAGTGAGGGGGAGCAGGAGGCGGAGACCACACGTCGCTCCTCGCAGGGATCGAGGTCCCAATCCCGTCCCACGTGCTGGCAGAGCAGGGGATGCTGCGGAGGCTGGGATGGAAGGGGGTGGAACATCCCTGCGGCTCTTTCATCGGGATTCAATGCCACTTGACGGGATATAATTCCACTTTTCCAGGCCGGTATTGATGAGGGGATTACCTGCCTCCTTAGTGCTGCAGCTCTCCAGCGTGGGATTTGTGCTGCGTGAGCCAGGGAAGAGGGTCCCTGTTCCAGGGGGAGAGGGCTCTGGATGCAGGCAGAGGGTCCTCATCTCAGGGGAGAGGGTCCCTCTGCCAGGGGAGAGAGTTCTGGATTCGGGGGAAGGGTCCCCATGGCAGATCTAGGACAAGCAGGGAGCCCCCTGCACCCTTCACAGTGCCCACTTCGGAGTGGGAGGCGGGGAATGTTTGGGAGACAGGGATACGGTCACATGCCTATCCTCCTTTATCCACCGCTCCTGCCGCCTCTGGATTAGCTGCCTCCGGAGCAGGAGCGAGCTCTGGCCTTTATGGATGTGAGGAAACACTTCAAACCCGACCCCGACACAAGGAGAGGTGCGGAGATCCAAGAGGGATTAGCCCTCTCCAGCGGTGTGTGAGCCGAGATCCGGCAAGATGCACCCGGGGCTGGGAAGAGCTGCCAGCGCCAATGGATCCCACACACGGCTCAGCTCCAGCGTGTGCAGGAATGGTGGATGTGGGAGCCATGGCACAGCCCATTCCAGGGGTGCCCAGAAGTGTCCCTAAGCATCCTGGTGTCCCTGTGCATCCTGGTAACCCTGGGCATCCTGGTGATCCTGCACATCCCAGCATCCCTGTGCATCCCAGTGTCCCTGTGCATCCTGGTGATCCTGTGCATCCCAGTGTCCCTGTGCATCCTGGTAGTCCTGGGCATCCCGGTGATCCTGTGGATCTTGGTAGACTTGAGCATCCCAGTGAGCCTGCACATCCCAGTGTCCCTGTGCATCCCAGTGTCCCTGTGCATCCTGATCCTGTGCATCTTGGTGGCCTTGGGCGTCCCAGTGACTCCACACATCCCAGCATCACTGTGCATCCTGGTGAACCTGGGTATCCCAGTGATCCTGTGCATCTTGTTGGCCTTGGGCATCCCAGTGATCCCACACATCCCAGCATCCCTGTGCATCCTGATGTCCTTGTGCATCTTGGTGTCCCTGAGCATCCTGGTGGCTCTGGCATCCTGGTGATCCTGTGCATCCTGGTGGCCCTGGCATCCTGGTGGCCCTGGCATCCTGGTGTCCCTGTGCATCTTGGTGTCCCTGTGCATCCTGGTGGCTCTGGCATCCTGGTGTCCCTGTGCATCCCAGTGTCCCTGTGCAGCCCAGCAGCCTTGGACACCTTGGTGGCTTTGTGGTGCTGGTGGCCCTGTGCATGCTCAGCTCCAGGACAGGCATTGCTTGGGCCCATCATGGGCAGCTCCACCCATTTCCCCAAAATTTCCTGTTTCCCTGAGCCTATGCCAGGATTCAGACCCATCCCCTCCAGCCAAAGCCCACGGCCCTGGAGCAAGGCTGGGAAGGCAGAGCCCCTGCAAGGGCCCTCCAGGGACGGTTCAAGCTCTCCCAAACAATAGCTCCTGCACAGGATGGAGAGGCTGGAATCCCCACGGAGTACCAGAGGCTTTGGATGAGCAAAGGCTTTGGAACAAGCCTCACACCTGAGGCACCACGGCTGGAACCGACCTCTCTGCAGGTGTTCCAGAGAGGATGGCCCTGTCCAGGCTCTCAGGGCCATATTTTTGGATCCAGACCCCCAAATTCCTAGCTTTTGTGGACACTCCCTGGATGCTGCTCAGTATTGCAGCCCCATCTCCTGGAGCATCCTCCCACTCACCCCGTTCCAGCGGCGAGATCCATGGATGCCAAGCACCCTGGGGGGGAAAATCAAAGCTGTGGTGAGCCCCCCCGGGCCAGGCTCCCGCTGAGCTCCCTGGAAGTGGTGATCAAAGCCGACATCCACAGCTCCACACGGAGAAACGGCTCCATGTGCCAAGCCGCCAAACCGGCAGCGGAAACGCGTGCATTCCCGGGAAAAGGGCAGCGGGAGAAGGTGCCAAGCGAGCAGCGCGTCCCCCCAGCCCCCTCCCCAACATTCCACCGGGCGGCGGCGTGGTGGTGGTGGTGAGCTGCGGAGCCGGAGCGGGATGCGACGCCGAGCCTGGATGGGGATGGTGGTGCCGGGGAGGAGCTCCGGGATGGGAAGCGACAGGGCAGGAATGCGGCGTCGGAGCAGCCCCTCGTGCTGCCGGCCTGCAGGGCCACACGGCACCGAGCGAGGTGGCCGCGTTGTCACGCCGGGGCTCCCCAGATGCTGCCTGCCTGGCGCCAGGCCATTAATTCCTCCTCTTCTCATCCTCCCACTCATTTGCTTGATATTTCCCAAACCTCTTATTTTTAGGATGCAGCTGAAAAGCTGTGAATTTGCAGCTTTCGCTCCTGTGCAGGATCCCGGGCGCGGGGCGGGGGGGAGCCGGCCCGGACCCCGGCGGGCACAGCAGGAACGTGGAATCCAAGCCCTTGGCACAGGGACAGGGAGAAGGGATGGGCACGGAGGGGGACGAGGCTTTGCTGCCATCCCTGGAAACAACCCAGTGGGCATTTTGGGAATGCTGCGAGCCAGGCTTGGCGCGTCACGTGGAAGAGCTGGAGGGCTGGGCCAGCTGGGCCCGGCGGTGCCACCTGCCCACGTGCTCCCGGGGGCTCTGGAGATGTGAGGGATCGTTGGAAGCCCCACGGCCATCCCGCTGCCTGGCAGGATCCTGGGATGAGCCTCGGGGGACAGGAGCGGTGCCACAGCTCAGCGCCCCAGGCGTGCTCTGGGCGGGAACGGGCGTCTGCTCCCCATC